CCCCCCAAAATCTGAAATTCCCCAAGACTCTCTGAGGCTGCAGATCTGGACAGAAAGAGCAGAGTCTGACCCAGACTGAGTAAGATGGGAGTGCTTAATGATCTCTGGGTGCTGAATTCACGTGGGAGGCTTACTAGCTCCTTACACTTTCATTTATTCATGAATTTGATCATTTATCAACCCTTTATTGGGCCCCCTGCTGCAAAACAGGAGCTCTGCCCTGGGCGGAGCAGCTCTGTGCACCGCGACCCTGCTTCCCCGGCAGCACAGAGGAAGGACAGGCAGCTGCTGGTTGCTGGGAAGATGGGTGCAGAAGGTCTCAGAGGAGGGGTGCTAGGGGGCTAAGCCTCGAAGAATGACACAGCTCCCAGGTGGAGGAGGCAAAGGCTGGACCCGGGTTTGGGGATGTATTACACATTTATAATAAATTTTAGCAGTACTCTTTATATTGTGTGGTTATGGAAGGAGTTGTCTCTAAACTCAATATACCCTTTTATTATTGATGAAAATTGTTACCCAAAGGTGAGTTATCTGTTAGCGATTTTTTGGTATATTTTTGATCAAGCGGGAGACAGATGTTTCTAACGGTGTGGGAAATGACAGCTGTGAGTCCGCATGAAGTGGGTGCCTGTTTAGAAGATCATTTCCTCCATTTCCCAATACTTTTATGGATGTATGTGCCGTCTTTATTTTTATTTTGAATTTGATGGCCTGATTCTAAGATGAATTTTTCTGCAAGGGACTTTCCATTGACATTGTTCTCATTTTCAGAATTCGTCAAGATGCCACTGCCTCACTGATTTTGCTGTGGAAGGTCACGGCCACGGGATTTCAACAGTGCTCCCTCATAGATGGATGGAGTGTGACCCTCCTCCAGACTCCCGGGGGCCTTGTCCTCTTGGAGGAGATGCTTGCCTTGGGGCACAATCACTTCATCGGTGAGTTATGGAAATCTTGTAGCCAAAACCGCATCTGGTTCAACCCAACCTTGGTTTGGTGTTTAGAGATAGTATATAGGGAATTTTGCCCAGATAATCTGAATTCTAGCTATCAGCATAATTTCCTCCATTTTAGGTGAGGTTTTTCTTATAATCAAAATTGGTTTCTAAGGTAATATTTCCAGTGTGGCTCAAAATTGAAAAATTGTGGGCTTTGAAATCCAGAGACTGTATCCCAGTTCTGGCCAAAGAGTCCTAGATGTGTGTGGTCTTTGGCATTTAATGCTGTGAATCTCGGCTTCATTTTTTTTTTTTTTTAATTAATTTTTTTTTTTTGCGTTGGGTTTTTGTTGCTGCGCGTGGGCTTTCTCTAGTTTCAGTGAGCGGGGGCTACTCTTCATTGCGGTGCGCAAGTTTCTCATTGCGGTGGCTTCTCTTGTTGCGGAGCACGGGCTCTAGGCGCACAGGCTTCAGTAGTTGTGGCACGTGGGCTCAGTAGTTGTGGCTCGCAGGCTCTAGAGCACAGGCTCAGTAGTTGTGGCACACAGGCTTAGTTGCTCTGTGGCATGTGGGATCTTCCCAGACCAGGGCTCGAACCCGTGTCCCCTGCATTGGCAGGCGGATTCTTAACCACTGCGTCACCAGGGAAGTCCTCGGCTTCATTTTTGACTCTTTAATCTTCTTTCTCCCAGAATTGTGGGCGACTTGAGGCATTGAATGTTGGTGTCTCAGAAGCAGCTTGGTTTCCACTTGATGTTGGCCTGACCCAGGGCCCTGGGCTCGGCACCTGAGCAAGCGATTTATCACTTCTGAACCTCTGACTCAGAATAACTTGGGGGGATCACAACTCTCTTTGGGGTCCCTCTTGCCCATACCACCTTCCTCCATGGGTCACTTCTGAGTTTTCACATTTTCTCTGAAATGGTTAAATCTGTCATTTACCTTTCTCTAAACTACCACATGTCCAATTAGCTGTTTTTAGTTTCCTCTGCCCTGGAGGAAGATGACCTTCAGAAAGTATGATTCCTCCTAACCCTTCCCCTCACTCCCCCACCCCCTCCTCCGGCTCCCCTCAAGGGCTAAGCTTGGGCAGTTTCCAGAGTACTTTCCTCTGGTTTAGCATTCTGATTGTATTCTGCCAGTCATCTTCATTCCGGGGTTGGGACTTGTAACTCTAGTCGCTTACCATGCTGATAACTTCCTGACTTTATTCAGACTTGTTCTGTCATGCAGCCTCAACTCAAAGACACAAACTCAAGTTCAGACTCTACTCATTCCAGTCCAGTGCACCCAAGGGGCCCTCTGCATCCTGCTGTTAATGTCTTGTCCTGTCCAATCATATATTCTAACAGTCCTCACCTGGAGGATGAGGGAACTAGGGGGTAGAGGCAGCACCTGTCTCTCAGGGGTGTTGAAAGGGTTTAATGAAAATGGATGTGAAAATATAAATCACAAATGTTAGGGATGCTTTTGGTTGCTTTCACAATTTTTTTTCTGAGGTACACTAAGTATTTTGCTAAGTTAAATGGAAGCATTAAGGTGTATTCTCCAAGATATGTGTTTGATGCAAATAGAATGATGACAAACTGGGAAAATGAAATGCTCAACTCTAAAATTTATATTGTATTTTATATTTGATCCTTCTCTGGTGATAAGGTCATTTCCCAATTTTTGGAAATGCAACAGGGGGTGGGGGGGGCAGGGATTTTATTGGGCAGAGAGAAGGTAAAAAGAAATCAGCTTGGGGAATGGACATGCTGATAAAAGAGGGGACGATATTCAACTTTGGACCAGTTTTTGGCTATTAAGATGGATACAGTACTAGATTATTAGTTAGAAATTGTGTGATGAAGTGTTGTCAACAGTCAAATCTAAATTTTACTCCCCAGTACAAGTAACTGTTATTTGCTTCCATATCTGTTGTAACAATTTATTTAAAAGGAAATAGTTTGTATATTTTGATCCATAGTTTCAATTTTATTTTATATTAATCTTTTAAGTTTTTCTTTTTAGTAGATTAGCCTGTTCTGTGACATGGAGCTCACATTTCAAGAAAATGTATGAGTTATCACTACTCTTTAAAATGTCATTAATTTAACCAAAATATATACATTTGAAATGTTACCTTACATTTTATACTACTTTGGGTTTTAACATAACCATGATTTAGACTGATACTGGGAGTATATATATTGGGAGTATATCAGTATATCAGGGATGAATATTAACAAGAAAGATTTTCCAGTGTTAATATTTATTTATTCTTTTGAGGTACAAGAAATTTTATGAACTCCAGCATAATTTGTGTTCATTTTGTTAACAGAAAATGTCATGGAAAAACATGTCTTTGGTTGAAATGTTCCTTAGAGGAATAATTTCCAAAAATTAATTTGATATGTTAATAAGTAAATTAAGGAATTCTTTCTCAAAACTTATACTTTGGGTTATGATGAGGAGACAATGATTTTGATCCTTTATTTCTCTAAACCATTATTTTCCACTTTGAAAATTTGTGATCTGATATCTTTTTAAGTTTCCTAACTAGAGCCTCCTGTTTTGGTTTTTCTTTTGCGGTACATGGGCTTCTCACTGCTGTGGCCTCTCCCGTTGCGGAGCACAGACTCTGGACGCGCAGGCTCAGCGGCCACTGCTCACGGGCCTAGCCGCTCCGCGGCATGTGGGATCTTCCCGGACTGGGGCACGAACCCATGTCTCCTGCATCAGCAGGTGGACTCCCAACCATTGCGCCACCAGGGAAGCCCCGAGCCTCCTGTTTTATGTGGCTTTGTAATGGAGCTCACTGTCTTTTAGTGTTATTCTTTTTAAAAATAGCAGTCTTGTTTCACAAGCTCCTTTCGAGAGAATGGCTGCCTTCCTCACAGTGATAAATTGGCAACACCTACTCATGGCCAGCTACTTCTTTATACAAAATCTTTTTATCGTAAAGAAACAAGATTTATCTTTCGTAATCATTGTGGAAGCCTTATGCTTACTACATTGAGACGTGTTGAACTCTCTTTTTGAGAGTTTAATTTTTTTTTAAAGCAGCTTCTTATAATAATTACTGTTTTTTGTTTTTTGTTTTTCTTTACAATACTGGGCTCTATAGACATGAATACATTTTTAGCTATGAACCAAAAGAGTATTTTGAAGAACACAGTGGCATTCATTCACTGGATGAACCAAGTGATGCCAGTGCAGGTGGGAGAAAACTTCCATGCTGAAGGGAGAGGAAAGTTCCAGAGTTGTGCTGCTGTGTTTAGTCACTGCTGCTCCTTTCTAGAAGGAAACTTGAGGCCCTTTCAGGGACTGTCTCCTCTCTTTCC